CCTAAAGTCCCCGCCATATCTGCCCCTCCCTGTTAAGACCGTAATGCTCCGGCCCTCTCCCGTGCCCGTGGTCCCTCCGCCCACCCCTATAGCCCCCGCGTTCCCCGACAGGCCCTTCGAATCAGTCATCTTCTCACACAAATACAGCCACTCATTCATGCATTCCCCCACATAAGTCAATTAAAACACAAAAAATACAACAGTAATAAAGTTTAAAAAGTGGGTACAGTCATCAATCAGACATACCATTCACACCGCATTCCTAAAAATAATTTTGCGCACTGCGCAAGAGAGGAAGTCTTAGTGTTCTTAATCTTCTCCTCTGCAGAGTCCAGCAAAAAGGGCAAGGCCCAAAAGTTTGAAGTGGCTGGAGGGTTAATGTCAGTTGGGGGGAGGTGTGAGGTGCTGAGCAGACTCCCTGCCCATGTCCTGTTCATCCCCTGCTTTCTCTTTCTGCAAAGATTGAGGCGCAGAATAGTATGCAGAATAGTATATGGGACTCTCAGCGAGGCCAGAGGTGGATTCAAGTATCCCACCTCACTCCAGAATGGTGGTCCTGAGGACAAAGGCAGGGGTGGGGACGATCGGGAGGCCAAGACAGTCAGGCATCTGAAAGTGGGACTCCTAAAACAACCATGGATCGCAGCGGCAACAGCGACAGGAGCCGAGAGGCCGGCCATGATAATCAAAAAGCTGGGATTTCACCAGTCGGTCCGCAGCAATGATAATACACGGAAACAAAAGAGTTGCGATGGAAGGGGGGGATACGTTTGGGTCGGCAGCGGTAACGGCGACAAGCCTGACCCTCAGACCCACAACACCCCAGCATCAACTCACCAACCCCCCTGGGAGGCAGCACACCCAGCGGCTCAGCGGCACCTTGTAAACAAAATAGGGCCGTGGCAATCCGGATCCAAGGCTGAAAAACTGCGTCCACGGTGGAGGGGGGGCGCCCGCTCAACGACCCAACGGCGCCACACAGACAAAGACAGGGCCGTGGCGATCCGAATGCGGCACTGGAACTGCCGCCAGCTGGAGACCACCATCCACAGAAGGAGAGGGGGGGGGACTGCACATCCCAACGGCTCAGCGGCGTCTCACAAGAACAAAGGCAAGCCACGGCGACCCATCAGCTGGAAACTGCCGCCCGTGCTGTCCGTGGGGGGGGGAAGGCCGCCCGCAAGCTGCTCAGCACCGCTCAACACCGCTGCGCCGCCCAGAGCCATCCGAGCAGTATTTCTCCAGGTACTCGTTCTTCCAGCACCCTCTCGATATCCTCTTGTCCAGACTTCGCCCTTCAGTAGTCTGCCTACAGCAGAGACTCGATTTTTTTTCAAGATTCGTCTCTCTTCAAGCCCGAGCGAGAAGCTCAGGCAGCCATCTTCCTCGCACAAAAGAGTTACCTCTTATGTCTTAACTCTTGCCTTCTGACAGCTCTGCACATTCACACTCTTCCTCACTGATGTCTGACTCTGTAGCACATAACTCCCAAATGGCCCTGGCCCCCCTCTCTGCATCTGAAGCAGAGCCCTCATCCAAGCCTTCCCCAGACTCCAGCACTGGCCCATGTTCCTTCCCAACCTCCTCACTGTCTGACTCTGCTGCCAGCTCTGCAGACAACCGGAGGACCACAACAATTACAACAGCACTGAAAAAGTGACATGACCATTTTTCACACATGACCACAGCAGTGTCCCCCATGGTCACATGTTTTACATTTGGATGATAGACAATTAGCTCACATTATGACGGTTGGAGTGTCCAGAGTCATGTGATTCCATTTTGTGACCTTCTGGCAAGCAGACTTACTGACGAAGCCAGATTCAGTTAACAAGCATATTATTAATTTAAGAATTGCAGTGATTCACTTAACAAATGTGGCAAGAAAAATTGTAAAATGTGCCAAACTCACTTAAACAATTTCTGACTTAGCAACATACGTTGTGGTCATAAGTTGAGGTCTACCTATACTTGTAGAACTGGACCTCCCATAACCAACAATATCTTTCTCCAATTTTTATCTTTTTTACTTTAGCAAGTATACCCGTATCATATAGCTAGATTCCTTTAATCATGATAACAGAATCCTACAGCTACTATGGCTGATGTCACATCCTGCTAATTTCTCAGTTATGACAGCTGTTGATATCAATACAATACTTTACTTTTGACCCAAAAAATGACCCTCTTGAAAATGAAAGTGAAGAAAGATAGGGATAACTCTCACTGCGTAAATCCCAAAATAGTGAACTTCATTAGCCACCATTCATGCAGGAATGTCTTTGCTGAATTGACAAAAAAAAGACTCTTGTTTAAAGAGTGGGTTCTACCCAGTTAACAATGTGCTGTCAACTATGCTAAGTATATAACTTAAGGCAGAAGAAATCTGTTTTCTTATGTTCAAAAGATGAATGCAAGACACTATGGGCAACAGGAATAAAAATAATTGACAGTACTGTCACAATGAAAAGACTTTAAAGGTGCAACAAAACAGAATTAGGTAAACCTGGAAATTTGGATCTTAATCTGTGTCAGATACAAATGATAGAATACTTGGCACAAAAGAATGGCTTTAAATTTTTCAGCAGCTTTATCAGAAGGTTTGGAAGAGCCTATATAACAGAATGTGTTTTATCTTTATAGTTGGGTCAAGTTGACAGTGAGTTCCTGTAATGGGATTTCAATTGTCCTGATTTTTCATTTGCTGGAGAAAAGCAGACAAGTCTGCTGCAATTAAGCAAGGAGGAAGGAAGATGGGACTTATTGATCACCACTAAAAATGACTCTGTAGAAACACAATGAACTTAAAGTGGCAGAATATATTTATTTATTAATCAAATTTATCTCTGGCAGTTATGTTGTTACCTAGTTGGATAATGAAGCATTTGCATGCAAACAATCAAGTTCAGAGAGCATCAAGATCTCCACAGTTCATTTCTGAACAACGTATATTTACTTATATAGGAACTATTTTATTTTAAATTTGGGGGGGGGAGAGACAGTGGGGACAATAAAAAGGAGTTAAAAGTAATGGAAATAAGGCTGATAAAGAACTACAACTAAATATCAAACAATGGGAGGCAAAAAACAGACTGATCTACTCCAAGAGTGGGTTTTGGGAGG